AGTGCTATCCCGTCCACGTTCCACTTGTCTCATCGGGTGCATGAGGCTAGCGGCCGATGTCGGATGGCAGACCATCAATCAACATAATAAAGAACAATACTGAAAACTGACTAAATAGCCTTGCCTTATAGGTCTCTATAAGTCCTACCCGGGTGCTTCGGTTGCACCTCAGCATTGGAATAACGCTCCAATGCATGTGGCCCTTCAGGTGAAGGCTCCAGCTAGGTTTCCCAAAGAAAAACCCTTTTCGCCGATGTAAGCCATTGCGAAGTAAGTCCCTGACACTCATTTGGAAAACCCTTTATCTTATCCGTCTAGTTCTTTCTTTCACTTCCATATTTTGCTAGAGGCCTTCTGCTTCCACAACTCATGGGATATCACCTAGCATTCCGCTAGTAAGGTCAACTAGTCGGAAGCTATTGGATTGTTGTTGTATCGCGCAGACAAATGGCGATAAGTGTTTCTCAATCCGGATGCGGAGCGGTTTAAGCGAGGTAGTTCTCGTCATTTCGGATACAGGATTTGATGGTCACCGCCCAAAATTGCATGTGATTAATATGTTCCTAAATTAGCCCCTCATTTTTACAGTCATCAAGTTTGCTCTTTCTCCATATGGATAACAGCTATTGAATTTCGGTTATTCAATTCACTTCTCATGATGTGTTGTACTCGAAAATAGAGAACCAATCTACAAATTCCATTTCAACGCTTTTTAGATATAACAAAGACCTAGAACTGGATGACGCTGTTCATGCTGCTATTCTCACTCTGAAGGAGAGTTTCGAGGGCCAAATGACTGAGAACAATATTGAAATTGGCATCTGCAATGAGCGCGGTTTTCGCGTTCTCACTCCGAGCGAAGTGAAAGACTATTTGGCAGCGATACAGTGATACACTGACACCTAATCGGATTGTTGCGTATCGCTTTTCCAGCGCATCCCCTGTTCCACTCCTGTCCACGCCTATGACTTTCCAGTGAAAAAAACTGTTCTTGTAATTCGTCTTTTTACTGTTCCGTGATTCACACAGTCCTGTTTTGGGCACTATTACGACAATCTGAACAAATACCGTCAGAGGGAAGTACTCACCGCGGCCATCAATGTAAACTACGGTGTCCATATTGAGTTGAAAGTTGCACTATCTACTAGTGAAAAGTAAAATGTTCACACCATAAACTGCATTTTCCATGGGTCATTCAGTTGACGGTGTTTTTGTTCAAGTAGTTGGTTTACAAGACAGTTCCTGGGGTGACGAAATGTTTTTATTAGAGGGAAATACCAGTGTATCCGAGACAGAACGATTTCTCTGTAACGAGGCGCATCGGTGCGGCTGACGAAATTAGGGTATACCAATCGTCAGTGTCTAATATAAACGGCCAGAGATGACGCGAATACACGAATCGTACATCATCGTGCTGTGCGGCCGAGAATCTACTGTCTGTAATTGCACGTGGACGTTTACGTTTGTTCACCGATCGGCCTGCTCTTATTGCACTCGTATTGTGGCCCCACCAACCTAACGCGATGAAGTTGCCTTGTCCAAGCAGATTCGGTAATGAAGACTTGGGTAGGTGGATTCAGAGACTTAAACATCGGCCTGGAACGGGAGCAAAGACGATGCGAACTGAACCATCGCATTGGAACGCCCTTGCCGGTGAGCGATATCTATTTATGATTTGAACATGGACACGAGAAGCTCAATTCAATACGGTCCGTTGAATGCTGTGCCGCTCCATAGAGCAGAGATACAGAATAGTCAAACTGAAAAATACCAAGAAAATGCGTACAGAATAGGATAACTAGCTCTCCGTACCATAGAAGTGTCTCGGAAGGGAGAAATGAACAATCAGTTACACAGATTATTTCCCGAGTAATCTCTGGGATACCGGCCAGGATAATGCGCAATCTTGGAACAGCTGTCTCGGGGCGGTTCAGTGATAGGAGGAGTCATAGAAAATGGACGGAGAAGTATCATTCCTTGTGTTTGTGATCGCAACGGTCAATGGAGCCTTTAAGACATCGCAGATGGAAGAACCAGGGCTTCCAAGCGGTTAGACGAATGTGTCCTTTACAGCGTTGAACAACTGAGACAGTGTAGATTATTAAAATAGTCTGGAAAAAATAAACTAATTTCAAAGATACAACAGAACTCCCCTCAGAGCGTCTGCTAGGGCTAAGAATGCGGGATGGGTATAAATGATCGATGTTCTCAGTCTCCTGATCGCAAATTACTTTTTACAGCTCTACGAAAACGAGTTTTGCGTGCTAAGCGTTGAACTACTTGGGTAATGACACAGGTAAAGGGGGCGGTGATACCGAATCTGTTGGTTGTGGGAGGCTCATTGGAGTCGCTAACTGATCCAAGCAACGAGGATGATGAAACATGAGCAACCTTGAGGCGATCAACTCATGCGGACTCATGCTCGTTCTGGGCAATGACAGGATCTCTCGGAACGTTTGATTACGCGGTTTGCGAACTGAACCCGCGTGAACAAAAACAGGTACAGGTCATCAGCAGACGTATTTACGCTGGATTGGAATTATCACTTGTAGCCCTGGTTTAAATCTGAAGCACGTTCTTCTCCAGACGTGATTCATATGATGCTTTCTGGATTATCGGGGGGAAGGTACAGAGATGAGCCGTACATTAATTCAGCCGGAGTGCATTATGTATCTTTTGTCATGCTGCGTATATCGAGGTGGATCGGCGGGAGCGTCTCCGGTCACTTTTAGGGTAATGCGGCCATCGTCGTTACTTTTAACTGACATCGCAATCGTTTATAGTTGATTCATTTGACGATGGACAGCTGCCGTAATTCAGATGTATTCACGACCGAGCATACGATTCGCTCCGTGGAACACGATGCTGAGAAATTGAACAAGGCTGTCAGTTATAATGAATGCACTTAATACAAATAAAGCAACCTGTTTCTCCATAAACCTCCAGGCCACAGATTTCTGGAGATGTCTTCGATGGCACTGGCGAGAGAACACTGAGTCAATCGATCAATGAAGGTAAAAGTATGAGTGAATGTGTTTTAACGAGGGAGAGATGCAACCAAATCAACACGAACATGTTTTAAATGGTCGTCAAGTAACGAAAATCTACCGAATGGGGTTGAGGGTTTGAGGCATGAACGATGTCTTGTCACATTGTGGTAATCTGTATGCATCTTTGATCAAACAAAACGTTCGGCAAATATTTGACGGGAGTGGATGTATTCCCAGACTGCAGAACTCTGATTCCACATATCGTTCACTGTTCACCTTGTCGTCTAATACTTACCTCAAGGGCATTCATCCAAAATGGTGCTCCAAAAATGTCGTTGTGTGTTGTGTTGTGCGTCTTACCCATTGTGAAACTTCTTTGGTTGTTGCTGCCAGACTGAGTTTCTAGTGATCGCCATGTAGTAGGTGGGCAAGGATTTGTAAGACAATTGTTCAACCGGGAATGGAACGGTGACAGTTGCGCTTGAGGTATTTAAAACCGGATTAATGTGAAACATTTAGGGATTTTCGATCGGCCCTGGGTGTGTAACAGAGATGAAATTAACCACTAATCAAAATGGTCAACTTCTCTGTACCCTTATTATCGTAGTGCTTGTACGCTTCAGTATTCGGAGTTAAGTATGGTGATTCAGTGAAAAATTTTACAGTTTTAGGACAAGCCAACTAAATTAATTGCACCATAAGCGGTATTTACAAAATGCAAGCTATGGAAGAAACCCACAGCATTCTTTTCGCGTTTTCATAAAACCTTCCTAGAAATTGTCCAAGTTCAATAGTAAATGACACGCTGGTCTCCTACCAAATCAGGACATTACTGTGATGCTATGCTATACTTTTTCGAATCCAAGTGTATCCGTTGTAACTTCAAGTGAATTAGCCGTGTCTTCAAGTGATTCCATTATAACTTCAAGTGATTCGACCAATCGCATTCCATGGGGAACTCCACAAAATGATCGGTGCCTCAGCTGTCACTCATCTTCAATCAGACCGAGTTTATAAAAGCCTCCTGCACTCTGAATGAACTGATTTCTCCATTTGTAATCGAAATTATCTTCCTAGTGAGTAAGCGAGCCAGGATGAAAGTTTAGATAGGGAATGTGATGTCCTTGATCATTGATCGATTGAGCTTTAGACGAGAATGAACAAATCCGGCGGTAATTAATCTCGGTTCTCCGGGTCGGAAGCCAATCACGTCCAGATGGGCTCACAAATCGATGTAACTTGGAATGAATCTTTGCATGAATGGGTTCAGTCTCGACCCTCAATAGCCTAATGAGTAAACATTGTTGGTAGAGAGGCTCCCAAATCCTTCAGACCGAATGCAACTGCCAACATATTTCTGGTATTAAAAGGCATCCTTCAAAAGATACTTAGGAAAGGTTCGAGGATACAACGAAAGAAGTAACAGCACTATCCCTAAATAACATTTTTGTATTTGAACTCGTCCAGCAACTAACAGATATTACTTTTTTTCGTAATTCCCGAAATTACCATTGCCTTCTTTCCCCGATGCCAGTTGTGACAATCTGTCATCTATAGCTTCTTCTTTTCTTACTCATCTCCATCGCTTACATTCTCATGTTTTTCTGTTTTTCATTTTACTTCCTTTTATTGAATATACAAAGTACAATTTCCAGGAAGGGGGAGGTGGCCAACCAAAAAACTACCATTCAGCACAATGGGGAAAGTCAGGCGGAGGTGGTGGAATTCGAACACACATCCCCAGGGTGATAATTTGATGACGTAATGGAGGATTGGGTTCTATTTCAAAGGCGAATTCGTTGTGTATAGAGCAAATGAAGCGTGAACTAAAAAGTTAGGAAGTTGGACAGTTGTTTCGACCTGGTTGGGTCTCATCAACGATGCGAAAACCTCGACCCAACTGGGGATAGAACCCTGAACCTGATGGGCAGAACGCAGGCTTGCCGCCCACTAGGCCACCGGGTAGCTGACCAAGCCGTTATTAATTTTCCATTTACACAATAAAGCACAACCCGTTTTGCGATCTTGTTGTGGGTCACGGACCTCGCTCATCTCAGCATTAGCCTATGGGGTTGTGACTCGATTGGAAGCATTTACAACCTGACTACTTGTTTCATATGAGCATTGTGTAGCATGGACTGAAAACAGTGCACGCTTCATTTGCCATATACATGGCGAGTTCTTATCTTCGTTGAATCATTTATCACCCTCGCATTTTTTGCAATCTTATTACATCTGTGCAATCCTTATAGTTATATCTTTGTACGGGGTGCTTCATAGAGTATCTAGTTGATATTCGATCCACGGTTACCTAATCAGGGTCAACAATGGTTATCCAACAAAACAGCCAAAATCTCATTTGCAAGAAAACCGGTGACGAATGAAAAGAAAAAAAATACTACCGGATACGCTAGCCCAACGACCGGCAAGAGCCGCGGAACCGGTCGTTTGCTTCCAGGGAAAGGTTGTCCAATCATTCATATATGAATAAGTAGTATATATACTACCTATTGTAATATATATATATATGTATGTTTGTTGTATCCAAACAGCTTCTGTCCGTTCAAGCTTTTGTTGAAATGACTTACAGATGAAAATAAGCATGCATTTTTATTTAGGATTCATAGTTTAGCATGGTCGCTATTTTGCTCCAGACCGGTTATCGCAATGACAGGTGAAGTCACCATCTATAGTTTTACTGGGGCAGCCACCAAGGTTTGCCGAGATCATAGGTCTGCTTCAAGAACGTCAGATCTCATTCACGGTGCGAATCCATCGAACACCTAACTGAGAATCAAACCCGAGAGTTCACAGGTAGAAGGCAAACCTACCGACCACTTAATCACCGGGCTGCCGATCAGACCATTTTTATTTTGCCAATACGCGTATAGCACTACTCAT